AGCATTATAGCGGTGAACCTGCCCCCAGTTCATTTCCTTCTCTCGGTCTGCAGTTTTATCTGAGCAAGCTTAGTGCCCCTACAGGCACCAGACTACACAGCCCACAGAGATAAGCATATTCTCAGGTTGGAGCCATTTAACATCACTCCAACAGATCTAGCACATCTCCTTGACAATGACAAGGGAGCTTTGCAGCCTTTGATCTCATTAACAGGACTGCCAGCTTGAAGGTTACGATCAGCAAGACAATCTCTTACTCCTCAAGAGAAGAGATTTCCAGACTGAGGTTCACAGGGTTCTCGTAGGAGATAAGCAGCAGATCCATGAAACCACAGCTTGCTTGGTGCTTTCAGTAGAAGGCTGAGAAAATGCATTGTGGCCCTTGAAAAATACGTAAGGAATAATCAGGATCCAAAGAGCTCAAGAACTGTTCACTACAGAGCGAGTGTTACATACACCTCCAGCAGCCAGCATGCAGAAGACACTTCTGGTCATCACTACTAGTAGCTTCCACTGGGGATTCTTAAACCTGTTCTCAACAGAAGTGGTATCAGCACTCCTGCGAAGACTCAGGTTCTGTTGTTTTCATCATTTCTGATGAAATGATGATCACAAGGTCACAAAGTACAGTTCCAAACTCCTCTTCTTTCCAGAGTCATAAAGCCTTCAGTGGTACTACCTCAAAACTGTGGCACTTTGGAAAAGTATTCCACAAACTTCCTTTCGAGAATGGTCAAACAGGGGAGAGGTCAGCCTCTTCAACGAATAATTTTCTCTCCAGTGAAGTGCCCTCCTCTTGGGACCACACTGTACCAGGCACCTCATTTCCATGTGCTTTGCAAGTGTCTTAAAGCCCAGCCTCCTACTAAGACCACATAAATGCAGTGAGCAGAGCCACTGCTGTTCCTGCTGCCACACTGACACTCACAGATTGGGCACCTTTCAGTGCTGTATGCCACCATCAGCTGCAGCACCCATAGAGAAGCCCACCCCATTCCCAAACTGCTGGCAAGAGAATTGCCATGGCTTTGTCCTACCTTCAGGTAGGAGCCATAGTACCGGGTGATGTAGGGA